TTTTCTTTAACGCAGTTAAACCAACAATCAATTCGAAACTAACGATTTTAAATTGACTCACTACTTGACTAGCCTATTGGTCCCAAGCAAATTGATTAACGTATCCCATTTTAGTATAAATTTCAGTACTACACTTTTTTTTTTTTTTTTTTTTTTTTTTTTTTTTTTTTTTTTTTTTTTTTTTTTTTTGATTTGAACTCGTGACTTTGACGTGAACTACACTATGTTTGTTTAGATTCGCTATGAAAGTTTGACAGATACAATGAGGGGTTCGTGAATTTTCCTATGTTTCGAGGGGTGCATCGATTAGCTTGGGACCGAAGAGAGTACCAGAGCTGAGCCAAAAAGTTGAGCACGTTTCTACGGGACCTTCTGGTCTTAGAATTACCTCTATGGTTAAACGTAAGTTAAAAAAAATGCCGAGATTCGGTATTTTTTTTACCGTAGAGATACTTTTGCCGAGCAGTCAGTTATTTTTTTACTGAGATTTCCGGCAAAAATTAACAACCGTGAATTTTATGATTACCGAGATCCTTGGATAATTTGCTGTTTGCCGAGATGGGCACCCCATTTTTTGCCGAGGTTCGGCGAAAAAACTTAGTGTGTAGTTGTATTACTATGATTACTACATTGGTACCCAATCAAACTAATAATTATAGATACGATTTTGTCAGCCCCATCTGAAATTTTAGGTTGACAAAAACGGGAAGCTGACAAAACCGTAAAAATATTTTAACTTTCAACATGATTTTACATCCGAGTTTAACCATTATTGATCCACTATTAATGGACTTATTGCATATTTATTATTTTTACAACAAAGGGCATACCAAATGTCTCGAAAGTCCATTCAAATTAATCCCATAATCCGAGAGTTCATTCAAATTAACCCCATAAACGCAGCGCAAAAAGGTTTGTAATTAACTTTATTAAAAAAAAACGCAGTAAAATTACTACAATGAGCAATATGTAAAGTGTTTAATAATGTGTGTGTTATAAACTTTCAGATGGCTCCAAATATAGTGAATGTTGAGAAAAAGAAACGAAATTCCCTCAGCCTCAAGGATAAAATGGAAATACTTCGGAAGCTCAAGAACAAAGCTATTACCAAGGCAGATATCGCGAAGCAGTACAACATTCATCCTACAACCGTCAGAAAAATTCAAAGAAATGCTGAGTTTATACTTCGTTCTGCATCAAACAAGAATCGTTGACGGAGCAAAACTTTCAAGTACTTTTCAACAGGTACGTATAAAAACCTTGAAGATGCTTTATTTCTATGGTTCCTGAATCGGGAGCTTAGGCTGTGAACCTATTACCGAGTTAAATTTAAATCGTGGTTAAAAGTGACATTTCGAAAGTTATTCTCTATGTTCGAAAATCTCTGTTCTGTCGATCGACTGGTTTTCGAGAAGAACTAAGCCACGATTGTCAAAATTTAACTTCTTGTCTGTCAGAAATAACCACATTCGAATAGCAGGGTTAATCGATAACTTTCCATCTGTCAAATTTTAACCAAAAGTTAAAAATCCACCAAATGGTTCAGAGCCTTACAGCTCAGATGGTTTACAATGCAGACGAATCGGGATTATTTTTCAAAATGTTGCCTTCGGAATCACTAGTTGTGAAAAGTCGAGAAAACGCTCCAGGGAGTAAAATTATTAAGCAGCGGATTACGTTTATGCTATGTTCCAATGTTACGGCAGATCACAAACTAAGCATGGTGGTTATTGGGAAATCACGTAACCCCCGAGCACTTAAGAATGTCAATCTTTCCGTTACGTATCTTGCATCCAAAAATGCCTGGATGACGCGTGAATTATTCCAAACTTGGCTTTTTAATGATATTGTTCCTGGAATACGATGGTTTGCCCGCGACAACGAAGACAACACAGAAGAATGTTTGAAGCAGGATGTCGTTGAAGGAAGTATGATTTTGGATACACGAAGCCTGGGCTGAATTACATGACGTTGTTATTCAGCAGTCATGGAAGAAAATCGGACAAGTAATTGTTAGAAAATTTCTTCACGGAGTTGATATTCCGTTAGCGCAACTAATGGGCAGTGAACATGATCGTAACGACACCATGATTGCCCAAAATGTGGAAGAACGGTATGTTAGCAAAGCATAAACGGACGAAGATATCCTTAAACTTGTGCTAGATGACCATGACCAGTCAGCGATCAACGACGAATCAGAGCAGCTTGAAGAACCAGATCAAAGTGAATCTCAGCTTCCCGAACTGGGTGAACCAACAGTAATGCGGAAGCAGTACAAACATAGAGGTACAAATGTTTGATAAAATCATTGATTGGCCTGAAGAATCAGCCCTTTCAATTGATGACATCATCTATCTGCGTCGTATTCGAGAATTGGTTTGTACGGTTTGTTACTGCGCCTTAATATTTTTTTCAAACAAAACATTATCATATTGATAAAAATATAGCAATTTTCATTTATTACAACCGTTAAGAAAACAAGTCCAAGCGGTATAAAAGCCTTTCCGGCAGATAGCAATCAAAAACATCAATTCATATTTCAACCAAAACACTAAGGGAGCAGACTTAAATGACGTAGCATTTTTAAACAACTTAAGACCCCTCTCCCCTTTTGTAGCGTATTTTCCTAAACCTCCTCCGCTTTCCTCCTATAACCCTCTCCTTGATCTATAATGTTACACTCAAAGTGTTTTTATGTTACTTCGTACGCGAAGTTAGCGATTTTCACAGTTGGTTGGAAATGCTAACATGAAGCTTTAGTGTGATAATTTATTAGCTAGATAATGATATTTAGAAGAGGGTAGGTGGATAGTTCCGTTAGAGTACGGCAGTATGAAAATAGAATAGAAGTTGAAAATGAACGAAGGGCCATTAATGCGACAGTTTTTTAAGTCAAACGCACATCTTTTGCCTAACCCGTACGATGTACGCGGATTCTCTAGCTAATAAATTATCACACTAAAGCTTCATGTTAGCATTTCCAACCAACTCTATAATGTTACAGTTATCCCCCGATTATCGCATTGGGTGTTGCCAGTCACTCACCGCAATTTTTCAGCTGTGCTTCATCCGATTGAGCTGATTCGGTCGATTGGTTGACCCTAATCACATACAAAAAATCAACTTAATCGGATGAACCACAGCTGATAAATTGCGGTGGGTGGCCGGTACCAACCACCGCGTAAATCAGGGGATTAGTGTATAATGATGTGACAAAACAGTTAAGCATCATTTGGAGGGAAATGCTTGAGAAATTCATGCTTATAAATCGAAAAGTTCAGCAAAATATGCAGGCTGCCAAAATCGGAAAAAAAAGCTGACAAAATCGGGGGTAGGCAAAATTGGGAGCTGACAAAATCGGGAAATCACTGTAGCATGAATCAGTTAAACGGTTGAGAAACACTGTATACCGGCTTATATTTTTAAGTAGTTACTAGGGTGATTCAAAATATCGATGTTGCTCCACCAAGCTCAATCGATTCCAAATCCTGATGTTTCTTTCAAAACTTTAGTTCCTTTGGATGCGAACTTCTACTACGCTGGCGCTTTGAAGTTTATATGAGAATTACTATGGGAAAAGTGAACTTTCTGTTCCCAACATTCTAGCCCTTCGATGTAGTATTCTATGCTATCTGCTCTTACGGAAAATTTTATCAACTACAACTTTGCTGAAGACTGCTTTTTTATTAGACTTCAAGGTAATTAGTCATTAATTGATTTCGAGGCCGGTAATTTTCTGTTATATGTAATCGATTGCTTTTAGGGGTGTTGCATAGTTATTGTACTTATGACATAGTAGTCTGGATTTTTCCCACTATTCTGCACACCAAGTACACCAATGTTGCCTGATGAGCAAGGTTGCAAAGACTCATTTCAGCTAAAATAATGTTTTTCGGAATAATAAAACCAAAAGATGGTATGATGGCATGTTTTACTTGTAACTTACAAGAAGAGGTTACAAAGTATGCGTTGGAAACATAAAACCTGTAAATTTTGCTTTCTATGAGTCACAATCAGCGATTTGCTGATCGCTGCGTGAGTGAGTGAGTTTGTGAAAAATCGCTGATTGTGACTCTCATGAAGTGAAATAAACAGGTTTAATATGTCAAACACATTCTTTGCAACCTCTTCTTGTATCCTACCAATTCAAAATTTGATCATGGCATCTAATTATTTCATAATTTAGAAAAACATTGTTTTAGCTGAAATGAGTCTTTGCAACCTTGCTGATGAGCAGGTGATGGAGCATTTCACATGAACATCATCTTTATAATTAATCATTTATTTGATGTTTAATCAAAATGTGGTCTTAAGCAAAGTTCACTTCTCCCTTAGTAATCCATACATATATAGTCCATATAAACTACAAAGCACCAGCGTAATATGAGTTCGCATCCAAATGAGCTCAAATTTTGGGAGAATTATCAAGACCTGATTTTTGAACCACCCTAATAATTAAATCGCGTACGATGATGCTGAAGAAGAAAGAGCAGTTATGTATCGTTGAATTTTTGGTAGCATTAAACTGCTGTTTGATTATAAAGAATCAAGAGAAGAAGAATCACTAAAGACCAATAATTGCGATGGTCTCAAAATCGAATATTGGTCGAATATTAATATTATCACATCAGTTGTTCCAGAAAACAACGTTCTTCTTGATAACAATGAAAACCATCGCCATGATTTATATTTAGTAGAATACTGCTCAGCGTCTTTTGACCCTTTGTATTGTATTTCGCTACAATAAAACAGAATTCAGTTCCTCTCATTCACTGTGTGCTCGTACCGTACTGAAAACGTGATATGCCTATATAGAATACGGTCACTGAGGTCGAGCACTAACTAGATTACAGAGAAAGACAATTCGAGCTAGAATCGTTGCAAACGTTTGAAATGTCGCATCACCATTTAATCGATTGCGGTTGCACATGACTAATATAACCACCAGCACTTAGTGTAGGATTTCACGAAGTTGACGAAAAAATCAAGCAGCTACTCACCTGCCGCAAAAAAGCAGCTCAACAGCAAAATTAGCTGACGCATATTTGCTTATATGCTAGGAAACCGTTTTTCAACACTGTTAAAACATTCAAAACTTAAACAGAACAAGAACCCGGTACGTACGTCCTTGCGGTAGGAAGTTTCAAACTAAAGTGAGCTTGTGCGCCTCGAAGGATTATATGAATATATAAAAACCCAACGCCCGGCGCGTGGGAAAGGAACGGACAATAATAGGTATGCAACGTAAAGAATATAGTGATGATGATAAGTGAGAAAGTGAACGTGAGCACACAGCTGTAGTTAGGTTTAACGATTCAATTTGTACAGTTGAAGAGCACAGGACAAGAAATAGAGAAAACAGTAGACCTTCCGATTGCACTGATTTTACGAAGGGATGCTTGATACGAGCAATGCCGCTAACACCGGTGGTTCACATATCTTTCATTAGGGTGGTCCTTTTAATATTCAAAATACAATCCACTGATTTAAATTCAACAAAATTAAATATTCATTCTCCATAAGAGTAGCACCGTTTGAAATACTTCTATATGGTATTCATTTATTTTTAATTGGAACAATAAAATGCAGGACTGTGGAGTTATGTCAGAGTCGGAATGAATTTATCGAACTTCCGAGTTAGACTCCGACTTTTAGATAAGAAGGTTCCAAACAAATATTAAAAGCTTAATAAAAGCTTATTCAGTCTATATAAGCTTCTTCAGCTAACGAAAACTTTTCAGTGTTAAGGAATATTGTAACAAACATTGGCTGTGTTTTTTGGAAACAATTTGAAGTTTGATACCTCAATTCAATTCGCTAAATCTCACAATTCTAGATAGAGCTGGAATTAGGGCGTAACAGCTTTTGTAAACAATGACTTCTCTCGATGATTTCTAGGAATTCAAGGCACTCCCACGCAAACCAACACAACCATCAGATAGGGGAAGTTTTCCCCTATCCAATGGTGATGCTGATTTGCTTGGGTGAGTCTGGACTTTCTAGAAATCATCGAGAGAAATAATTGTTTACAAAAGCTGTTACGCCCTAATTCCATCTCTATCTAGACTTTTAGAATTTCTCTCAAATTTCCGGCTGTCATAGACAATTCTTATACACGAAATCCCAATTATACTTTAAAGTCACGAATCTTGAAAGTTCCACTATAGGAAAGACTGGACACGCTTGTTTCTTTGGGACACTTTGATTCCCCCTTGGTTTTTTTAGGTTAGTTTCCACATAGTCTCGTCTGGACGGAAAGTAATGTTATAGTGACATTTGCGTCAGATTGTGGGAGAATTTATATTTTTGAGTGCAGTTCGTATATTTTAACTCTCTTAGACTTTGTTTTAGCCAGTGTGAAAAATCTAAATAACCATTTGGATTTTCAACCAAAACGAATAAAATTAATACAGCTCAAAGCTATGAGTAAGTTGAATCGATCGTAATCATTGCTCGGGGCTGTTTCTTCTCATTTCTAGTTCAGTTTGATATGAATTGGAAAACTCAGTTGGGAGACACTTGATCCCCCGAGGTTTACACACACTTAAACCTTATATATGAATGTGAAAAAAATTAAACTGTGTTTGTGTAGACCTAAAATATGCTTCTTCAGCTAAATAAAGGCTTATTCAGCCTTTAATCAGCTCAATTGATCCTTTAAATTTGTCGAACCTCTTAACGGAATCCCTTTATGAAGAGCTTTGAGTGGGTTGGTTTATTTCCTTTAAATTCCGTTATAATTGCTTATCTTTTGACAGATACGCGTATTTCGTCTACTACTTGCAGACTTCATCAGTGCCAAGTACTCAACACCACTGGTATTGCCACTCCCACTGAAAAATGGGCAAAACCTTAATCATAAATGGATATTCGATTCCTACCGTGTATTTAAAGTTAAGTTAGGATCTTATCAAGCAAGCACACACCTTTTACGATTCTTATTCTACTTACGGTTTCCTGCACATACGACTTTTCCTAGATACAAGCTTCGTCCAGTATACATTGGTTGTCTCCAACCGGCATGATCCTTTCTGTCTAGTTCCTCTTGCCGGTGCAAGTTTAATTCTTCTTTTCTTGTTCGAATTTTCTCCTATTGAACTTCTGGTCGTGTTCCCATTTGTCCTCAGGCAGTTAATATTAGTACATTATAGGAAGAAAGAAAGAAATAGAACAAGTTAAGTGTGAGCCGCATGCATTGGTTACTTATTTGGGTCATGGTGTTGTCTTCCCTATTTATTTGCCTCTATTCGCTCTCATATCGCAACGTTTAACTAACCCCCTTCCCTCACACTATTATGGTCGGAAAAGAGAACCCATATTTAGTAAACTATCGTGAACTGCGATGCAGAAGATATTAATAGCAAACTAATCTGGAACTGGTCTAAGACATATGACCCAGTGAGTATTGACGCCTCACACTGTTGTGAATGAGCACGGACGCGAGATTTACTAGAGTATTAAATGCAAAACGCAAATTCAAAATAAAACTTGACAAGACATCGTCAATCCCCTTATTCTTGGGCAGGGTCTGACGATGTGAATCTGATTTAGATCAGTGAACGGGCCCCATATGGTACATTTTCTCACTATGAACCTGTCATTTCCAGCCTATCTGAACTATTTAAGGGGAGGTTTACTTGGATTTGGCTGAAAAACAGTTGAACTTTGGAATTTTTTTTCAGGAGAATGAAAAGACATACGAACTTCCGGTTTCGATAATTATATTTGTCCACTATTCCTGAATACTTGGAAATTTTTTGAAGGTAAAAAAACAAAATGGCGGCTCAAAATGGCGGCTCGCGTGGAGGAGTGTCAGTCAGGTTTTGCGGCAGAACTTCGAGTGCACACCCTCTGGTGGTGAACTGAAAGGAAATTTTTTATTGTGGTTAAAGTTGATAATATTCCCTATGGCTTATACCTAACTAGAACGAAATCCGACAAAAATTGACCAAATTATGGACATTTGAAAATTTAGTGCTTTATTTACCCCTTTTTTTTCTCACTTTGACCTTGCTTAAAAAATAGTAACTAACAATTTTTTTTTCATTTTAGGTATAAGCCATACAAAAAATAGTATCCTTCAAAGCGCAATTTTCCGATTGTAAATCGGATCATTTGTTTAAGCCCTATGCTCTAAGTTGTTATAAAAAATATGGTTTCGAGAAAAACGCGTTTAAAGTTTTTGTTGCGTCCCTCAGCGCGCATGACAAAGGTTAACTCAAAGCGCCATAACTCGCTAAATATGTTTCGGATCGTAAAATCCTTTTGGCCACATATTCTACACACTTGTAGCTTTCATTTTATGCAAAAAAAAAATCATTTTTTTTTGAAAAAATCCAAGTAAACCTCCCCTTAATAAATGGAAACCATAACATGGGTTACGCTCCTCCTAAGCGGGCCCTCCGCATCCTATCTCTGTCTTATCTCAAATGCCAATGGTTTGAATGTATCAATATATACATTGGAAATGACGTTCAATCAAATAAACCCATACCCCACTCACTTGGCCAGGCTTTAGAATCATCCAGTGGGCAGTGCGCTCTACACTCCAAGTTCCCTTTCCCCAAATTTGATATTTTACCCCTTTGAGTGTTGATTAATCACAATGAAACATTGTAACAGAGCACGGACTTGAGGTTACTAGAGTATTAAATAATCTAGGTCCTATTTAGGATTATATCTGAAAAATCCAAATTTGGCCAACGCCCACCATTTTAAACGTAATAATATTTGACGTAAAATCAATAAGAATTTCATTTTGTTTTGGCTGCAAAAAGAAATCATTATTGTTTCAACAATCCAGTATTTTTGTTCCTCAAAACCCATGGATTGTCAAATCAAAAAGAAAATCTTTTCGAATTTACAAGAGCTTTCATGGTTTTGACGTAAGCTGTCAAATTTGGCAGTTGGTTCAACAACAAAAATGTTTGTTTTTAAAAGAGATTTCTTGTTGATTCAATCATATTTATTATAGAATTCACGCAGTAGAAATAAAAATATGTTTATTGAATCAAAAAATAATACGGCCATTTTTTTTATGTTTTGTTTTTTTTTCACTGATCATCCTTCGGAAGGGAAGTAAAGCCGTTGGTGCATGGTTAATTAGTTGATGGGTCGATATGTAGGGTCCAGGTGTGGAAGCTGCCTTCCTGGCGTCAGGAGCATTGGTACTCAGTACGGAAAACAAGATCGACGGAAAAAAAATCAAGTAAAAAAACAGAAAATTGATTATATTTAGCAACTGCAGCATACTTACTTACCTCAAGTCTCAAGATTTTCGGAAATTTTACACTTATTTCCAGAAATTCACAAGTTTTGTTATTGTTTACATTTTTGTCCGAGTGAAAACGAGGGAATGGTTGGTAGTTATTTTTGCATTCATGGCCCGAGGAATAAATGCTAAAATAAAATGAACTATTGTTGAATTAATAATAGAAAATTATTATTTTTACAATAGTTTCAGTTGAAAAGTGGCTTATTAAAACTAATAGAATCCTCTTTTGAATTTATATGAATAAGTATTATTGAAACAACAAAATGCAATATAATTTCAACCGGAATGGTTTGTTTAAATGCAACTTAAGTTTTGTTTGGTTCAATGCAAACAATTTTCTTTCCGTGTAGGATATATTCAAATTTAAATATCATAAGAGGGAGGGCCAAATGTTTTCTGGCGTTCATTTTGACATGTATATAACATGTCAGAGGCTCGAGAGAATAAAAAAAAAACTATGAAAAGTCCATGAGCTCACTCGCTTTTAAAACAGTACATGTCAGTAAAGGGGGATCAAGTCTCCCCTAATTGTTCAAAATGCGTTTTTAGACATCTTTCAAAAAACGTAATTTTTGGGAATTAATGTATAACTTTTGATTTTTTTTAGTAAAACAGGGGATCAAGTATGTCCTCTCTCCCCTGTACAAGTTTTATAACTTGAAATTTCTTAGTATGACATCAACTTATTATGGGATCCTGATCCCAAGATTTGGAAATCCTCCACCTCTTCCAAATTTTGATGCTGGTTGGTCAATTATTAAAGGTTAATTGGTATAGTTTTCGGCTTGATTGGATGATTCTACATCGAGTTTGGGCAATTCTAGTAATTCGTTTATTGTTTAACTGCCCTTTTAAAAATGGTATTTCTTGAAGTACAATGAATCGAATCTATGAAACTTTACACAGTTGCAGTAAAAGTATTGATCTGTAAATCGCTTTTAATTTGACTAAAATATGTTCACGTTAAAGAAAAGTTATAGCAGTTTGACATTTATTTCATCATCTAAGAAAATAATTTGGCCACTTTGGTTTTTCATTATGCTGTCAACATTTTTTTCCACTTAATTAGTTTTGGTATCCATAACAGATAAGTATTTCAATTACAATGTGTAGTCTTCATCATTGTCATTCATATACCAAAATTACTTAAGTGGAATTAAATGGAAGATAACATTTTTTGCTGTTTTTGAGCATTCCACTAACAACCCAATTTCAACTGTTAGCTTTATTACAACGCATTACTTTTGGATACATTTTTATGCTGGCCATAAGAAACAGTTCCGTTTCATAGTAGTTATCACTGTTTAAATAATCAAATTCTAGAATTTCGTCCACAAATCCAAGACTGGAATATATTTTTATAACTCATTATGCCATTATGCGTGCTGAATTTGGATTGTAATTAGGTGTATGCTGTGGCTGTCTCATCCAATATATAACGCCTCTACCTTACATTAGTATTGTACATTTTGGTATCCAGTTTTTGGTTGGTTTACCCCAAAAATGTGAAATGGGTTAAAAAAAGGGTTCATTAAGATCAAAGAACCAAACAATTCCTCCCCCTGTAGGCCTCAAGTTTATTTCCCAGTAAACTCCCCTTCTTCCACCACTTGTACGAGAACAACCCTCCAGTGACCAAATACATCGTCTTTTTCTGGAACGAACGGAAACACCACGGGTTGAAAGGAAAAATCCTGGTATAAGTTGGAAACGCATTTGGGCAAACATCGCGACGGAGCAGATTGTACTTGCTGATTAATGAGAAGACTGAGCATCGAAAAATTATGAGATCCATCCAACGGGCTGAGGGTGAGAATTGCTTGCAATGCTGCACTTGAAAAGCTGCAACCAAAATTCGCGTAGCACACGCATGGGCTTTCGTACAGCAGATGATGACGATGATACTTGGCGGATGGCAACGACTGTCCTTCGAAAATTTGCTGCGACCAGTACTATTAAACATTGGAACAACAAAACGAAATCAAATATTGAACATATTCGAATTATACATCACTTAGGTATGTTAATGAAGTTAACGATAGAATCGATGTTGGCGCATTTGAATTCTACTAAGATGTGAAAGTTAAACGTTTTTGTAAATAATCCTTTAAAAATACAGAAATAAACGTTAATTTTTCAAAAAGTATTGGAATTTTGATATAAAAATCAAAGTTTCAACCTATTTTCAATATTTTTCCAGGCAATTAGTGCTGAGCAACAACCTGATTAAGATTTAGTTTATTTTTTAGTTTCAAGATGACCATTGTTATACTGACCCGCAGGTAGGGTTGCTTCCACTCACTTGCATTAAAAAAATGTTTCATGATACCGAAAAAAAAAAAAATATTGCAAGTGAGTGGAAACAACCCTGCCCGCAGGTATAGAAATCCTGTTTAAAATACTGCATTGTTAAAACAGAAACCATGTAAACACACATAGATATTTGGGTAAAGTTGGTAAGAAGCTGCAGCACCTAGGTTAAAATATGAATGAACATTGACTTGAATTCGGAACTGATTAAGATCCATCTGATAATACCTAATTCCGATAGTTTAATGTGTATCTATGTACAAATATAATAATGCTTCGTTTTAACGTATCAGATCATTTCTTTCTATAACTGAAATTATTTCGATAAATTAAGGGATATGGTTTACTTTATTAAGGGAAAAAAAAACTAATTACACGACTCTTTTTATGCCACCTGTGCGGACACAATTTCCTCATACGGCTCATTTGGTAGCTTTGCTGGGTTCTGAAAAAGGGTACATCGATTAAACCATAGACACATTTAAAATTAACTAACATTTATAACTTACCAACTTCTTGGCACGTTCTTCCAAGATACTGTAGGCAAAATGATTCAAGTTTAAACCAAGAGGAAGCGCAACTCCTTGAACCCGGTAGAGTGAAAGCTTATCCGTCCTGGCTCGCGGTACTACATGAATGGCGGGAATCGTGCATTTCCCAACCAAGCCAGTAGAGCTAACCATAGGTCCTTTGCTTATATCTACGTGTTCTCCTACTCGATAAACCGTTATCAAGCCGTTATTTTGGCCCGAAATGCTAGGAATTTGCTCACGCTTGTAGGGATTATCGCTGAACATTTCCTGAGCCACTTCACTGTTAACCTCCAGACGCTCGATGGGCAGATCCTGCTGGGATAGTTTAATCATCTCAATTGACAGAGCTCGGAGCTCTTGGATCGAAGGATTCCAACCATCCTTAGATAGAGCAATGTCATGCACGAAGCTACCAGTTTTAACTAAAATACAAATATAATTATGGAGTCATATGCATGCAAAACAAATCAATATAATGCTCAACTGTTTGGTTTCGGAAAACTGTGCAGGAACAAACCAGCTTCATCTTTGAAACTTTTCTGCAGAACCGCACCTAGAAGGAACGAACACGTTCTCCAAAAGGCTTTGTTGACCAGATGGGCCTCCGGCGAGGTAAAGTTTAGCAACTGTAGCGTACAGGAATCTTCTAAGGATCTCCGCATATCCCACGGTACATTATTGTCGAGAAGGGCCAGGGCGGAATATCGACAATATTTCTCGCCAATATCTACAAATGTAAACAGGTTATCGTTTATGATCCTTTAAAAACAACGTCGACACTTTATTCAACTTACGCCTTGCACAATCCAACGGAGTGGACATTCCTCGGTTCATGATGAGCGTTGTGTCTTTGGGTGTTCCGAGATACCGGATTTCGATCTTCTCAATACGACCAACCTTTTCTCTTTGACGCTGCTGTTCCTCGGAGAATAGTTTGCTAGAACTTTGAAGCCTTGATGCGACAGAAAATAATCCTGCAAATGTTTAAAAAGGACCATCTTTTACCAACGTTGTAAATTATTGTGAAGCGTTTACTTACTCGATTGTCGCTGTAAATTGATGGCCGATAGTATCGATTTACTTATGTTTAACATCATTTTGTGATTTATTCGCATTTTCAAAATAAAACAATCGAATTTAGCAGAATTTTTGAATAACCGGCAGCACAATGTTGGGGAAAATCTCTTATGTCACAGAAAATAGATTTGTTTATTATTTTGATGGAAATGTCAAAGCACATGTGCGGTGCGTCAGGTTAGCCCTTTACAGGGTGGTACAGAACAGGAGTATGTCGTATCTTTTCACTTTAGTAGATAGATGGCGCAATCTTAAGAAACCACCACCATCGTTCACCAAGTAAACCCGCATAAACGCGAACCGTCACATGACCTTACCGATAATGGTTATAAATTGTTTATAATCCCTGCTAAACTTCAACTGAAATGGTTATGGAACTTTACATGAACGTCAGAATAAGTATTTTCCCCAAAGCAAATATGTAACAGCATTTTTCATTCAAAATCTTGCCAATTTCCATCGGTAATTTTCTTATTGTACGATTTTCCACAAATCTGAACTGATTTGCACCTTAACCACAAACGAAGTGACAGACGACTTACTGGCGAAGAAATCCATTTGAATAATGTGGTTCACTGTAATAGAATTTTCTTGGAAGCTTGTGCCATCATCCACCAGATGGGTTAGTTTTTTTGTTTTGATTTGAACAAAGTTGATTTTGTGTACAATGATTCTTTGACAGTGTGCAAAGAGTGCGTATCATTTTGTCATTTTTTTATGCATTTCAGTTTTGAGTAGAGTGAAAGAGATAGAACCAAAATATTCTAGTACATTTGGTGAAAATGCTAGTTCAATCCAATAGTAGTGTTGCCATGTGGTACAATCCAGTAGTAGTGGTGTTGCCATGTGGTACACTGAAAAATTGCAATAGCAGGTTAGTCACCAAAGTTTTCGAGCCGCTCCGTCTGTCACTTCGTTTGTGCCTTAACTATTCACACCCAAGAAATCCGGAAGATCATAACCACTAAGGCACTTTTATAATTTTCCATTTTTCTCAACAAAAATATTCCTGAACACCAGCATGATCTTTTCAAAAACGTTTCAGAATTAAAGTTTTCAACTGTAAATTAAGTTTCGCAGCATCTCAGATGAATCAATTTATCAGGAAATGTAAAAAAGTGTTCCGCTTCCTATGTCTCAAGGCAAAAATTTATGCTCACAACACTCTTTTTGACGTTCTCCTATTCACCACCAGAGGTTGAATCGATCGTTTAGTTTCTATTAAAAAGGCCTATAATTAAGTAAGCACTTAAGGTTGATGTACATATTATGTCAAGCCCTTATGGGGAGGGGGGGGGGGGGTAGCTTCTGATTTTGTGACAAGCATAGGTATTGGGAAAACGTCACGAAAGGGGGGGGTATTTTTTTCTCAATTGGGCGTGACATAATAAATCAAGACAAACAATTGAAATGGCCTTAACTTCATTTTGTAAACAACCTTCATTCGCAAACCTAAACCACGAACGGGTAGAGAAGAATTTTACCTACCTGTTCATTATGTTGGTTTGCCTTTGCGGACTTCGGTTCCCTAGAAAATGGCCTTACAAGGTTTGGTTACAAAATCTAAGGCCATTTCAATTGTTGGTCTTGATGGTCTTAATGGATCGCCTCTTAAGGGCCACCTACATTAGATATAGAGCTGATGCGTTGCGGCAAGTGACAGCTGAGGCATTCCACCAAGGTTCGCAAATCGATCCTGACCGATCATTTCCAAAAACTTTGCACAGTTGTTCCTTTTTAGTAAAGGCGCTCAGTTTTTCATATTGAATCACGACTACTTTTTGAAAAGGGCCTGTGTAAAAATAGTAGTAATGAGTTTAAAAATATATATTGCCGAAACGCTTTGTTCGATTGATTTGTTGTCTTCAGCAAAGTTGTAGATATTATTTTGGCAATTGTGTAAAAAATATGTAAAAAGTTTCGTTTGTATCAATGAAAAAAAAATATATTTATTATTAAAAAAGTTAATTTTTCAAAAAATGCATTTTTGAAAATTTTCGGTTTTAAGCCTCATTGAAGCTCATAACGTTTGCTAATAACTGGCAAAGTTTGGTGATGGTAAAGTCACAGACAAACAGACATAAAACTCGCAAGTTGTTCATCGAACAAGCATTTAACGGTTAATTTAAAAGTATCGTAGTTGGTAGTACCGCCACCTGTGGCGCGCATAGTCATTTTCCTTGCGTTTGACGTTTACACACTACCGCCATCTGTTCAGCATATTACCCACCACAGTGTACTCAACAGATGGCGCTAATGTTTCACCGACGATGTTTTACAGTGAGAAATATTCAATGTGTTATGTCTGTTTGTCTGTGGTTAAGTTATGGTTTTTTGAAAATTTCACTATTTTTACATTTTTATTAAAAACACATGTTTTTTAACCTTGTATAATTTTTCAAGAATCGCATTTTAATTTTGCACAACTTTCCCAAAGACACCATAGCAATCAAGCAAGCCGTTTTTGCAATGTATTAAAATGTTTATTTTATAAGCGCTTTTCTACACAGGCCCTATTGGAAAAGTAGTCGGGGTTCGCTATTACAATTTGTAATAGCGAATCCCGACTACTTTTTTGTTTTCAATTTTTACTTTTTTTTATTCGGAAACCTTTTGGACAGATGATACATAATTTATTTTAATTGTAATACACTTTCACGTTCTTTGGCCAAACTTGCTCTAGTAGCCATGCGTTTTATTGTACCTCCAATAGCGTCACAAGGACCTTTCCCATGTGATGTTGCAAAGAAATGCCATTCGGCTTCAATTCCATACTTTGATTCAAATTTACAAAGGCTAGCAAAAATTTTCCGGTTCTTTGTGACGCGGCTCCATCGGACATAAAATAAATCTTTTTGATATTTTAACTTTGGTTAATGCGTAAAAAACTTATCATTTAAGAAATAAATAAGTTAATAGCCACTGAGTCATGCCTTAACTCTTCAGAAATTATAATTAAACTTAAATGTTTAACTTGCACATTTTCTCTAAAATATATAACAAATGGATGAATGGTAGCTTGTTGGACATTCCAGTGATGAGACTGAACTTCATCCTTTAACACAAAGCTGTAGTTTTCGGAAAAATCGCAAGTAACTAAAAATTCACCTTCTTGCAGATTATTTCGTGTAGTTTTCAAAAAAATTTAGATTGCTGTTTTTTTATGAAATCATGTGGTATCAAACTTATCAATTTCAAGCAGAAAAATGAAACAAACTCGTCTGCAGGCTTTACAATAGTTTCTAAATCACATCTATCCGTGGTAACCCACTGTTCAAATGAAAGCTGATCAATGCATTTTTCTTCTAATTGTTTTAATAAAATGTTTTCTAATGCGGAAGAGTCTGGACAATCTTCACAACACCGTAGATAGCAATATGTTGTCTTGTTTTCACAAAGTAGGCTTTCAGTGAACGTTTTTACATCATTTATATGGTTAAGTTTTTTCAAACTGTGTAAAATTAGATTGATGTTTTCATGCGTTGTGCACACGCAAACATTGTGGGTTCCAGAGCTGGTTAAAAGTTTACATTGCTTAGGGCGGAGTTTTGCAAATGAAGAGAATCCAATTTTGATATTGCAGTGAATTTCATTGAATCGTTTATAAGCTTCTCTCAAAGTCATCATTAGTAATCTTTTTTGAATGGTTTGTCGTTTTCCTTCTTTCTGCACAGACACATAATCTTTTTGACCAGACATTTTGCGGTTTTTGACGAATGACCTTCCTTTATCAACTTATCCTTTGTTGCAATATATCTACTAGCATTAAATTGATCCATAACTTTTTGTGTTGACCATCAATAAGGCAATAACGATAAAATTAATAATTTTTCACTTCTTGCAGTGGATGCATTGGAAAACTTTTCCTTCATGTTTTCTAAAACTCAGTCTCAGGCTCGAAGTTGAAAAGATTCTTTCTAATACCTTCGTTGATTTTACGGTGTTTCTTTTCGGGGTAGTGGATGTGGTTGATGTAGAGTGACTAAACGATCGATATAACCTCTGGTGGTAAATAGGAGAACGTCATCGAAGATGCTCAAAAACTTGATTCACAGTTGAAAAATTTAATTCTGTATCGTTTTTGCGAGGATCCTGCTAGTGTCCAATAATATTTTTGTTGAGAAAAATGGAAAATTATAAAAGAGCCTTAGTGGTTATGATCTTCCGGATTTCTTGTGTGTGCATAGTTCAGGTGCAAATCAGTTCATATATGTGAAAAATCGTAAAATATGGCAATAGGCCTTTTTAATAGAAACTAAACGATCGTTCAACCTCTGGTGGTGAATAGGAGTACGTCAAAAAGAAGGTTGTGAGCATAAAGTTTTGCCTTGAGACATAGGAAGCGGAACACTTTTTTACTTTTCCTGATAAATTGATTCATCTGAGATGCTGCAAAACTTAATCGAGAGTTGAAAAATTTAATTCTGTAACGTTTTTGAAAAGATCATGCTGGTGTTCAGGAATATTTTTGTTGAAAAAAAAAATGGAAAATTAGAAAAGTGCCTTAGTGGTTATGATCTTCCGGATTTCTTGTGTGTGAATAGTTAAGGTGCAAATCAGTTCAGATTTGTGGAAAATCGTACAATAAGACAATTACCGATGGAAATTGGCAAGATTTAAAATGAAAAATGCTGTTATTTGCGTTGGGGAAAATACTTATTCTGCAAACAAATATTCAATGATCAAAACGTTATCTCTCTATTTGATGCTTTTAGAGATGAGATAATGGTGGACAAGGGATTCAATATTGAAAACGTGTGTTTGGCTAAGGGAATTCGTCTACATATCCCACCATTTCTACGAGGGGAGCGTCATACCATAGAGGTAACTCTAAGACCACTGGGTCCCGAAGAAAATCATTATTATTTTTGGCTCACTCAGTACCAGAACAACGGTCCCAAGCAGTCCCAAGCTATTTCACTCACCCCTGCATGTTCTGCATGAATCCACACACCCCTGATGTTATCTGTCAAACTTTCATAGCGAATCAAAACAAACATAGTGTAGTAATAGAATTTCAACTAGAATAGGGTACGTTAATCGTTTGCTTGGGACCAATAGGCTACTAAAGTGGTGAGCCAATTTAAAATCGTTAGTTT